AAATAGGGAGTGAAAAGAGGAGTCCCTGGGCAGAGCGAAAGGATCAGAGAGCCCTGGGTGGTGGCTGGGCTAGGCCAAAGATAGTTGAAATCACAACCAGAGTTTGGGAGGAAAGGAAGGCCCTGAACTCCACGGAAAAAATCTTCCATAAGAGAAAATAGATACTGGGGAGGTTGGTTGATGGCAAAAATCAGGGAAAGAGGAGCATAATATAGCTGAACTGCATGGACTGAAAAAATAGGAAGGCTGTGTTGTGTTATGTTGTGTGGTATTTTTTGGCAAGAGGGTGGAGAATCAATGCCTGCAAGAAGCAATGGGAAGCCAGGAAATAAAGAAACCCCAACCCCTGACTCTAAGATTCATGGTTGGGAGGAGAGATAAAAAAAAAAACAGCCACCACATGAGAAGTCTTCAAGGGAAGCAGTGTCTTCAGGGAAAAGGTAGGTTTCAGTTAAGGCAATGACATAGGTGTTTACAAAGCCATAGTTTCTGAGAACACAGTAGAAATGTGTGAATTTAGGCCTTATCCGTCAGTTTGTTGTACTGTGGTGGCTTGCATGTTGCTGTGATGCTGGAAGCTATGACACTGGTATATCAAATACTAGCGAGGTCACTGATGGCAGACAAGTTTCGGTGGAGCTTCTAGTTAAGACAGACTAGGAAGAAAGACCTGGTGATCTACCTCCAACAATTAGCCAATGAAAACCTTATGGATCACACAGAACATTGTTCGACTCATTTGCTTTGGACGTGTCATCAGGAGGGATCTGTCTCTGGAGGAGAACATCATGTTTGGTGAATTAGAGGGCCAGTGAGGGTTAGGGGGAGACCCTTGGTGCACTGTGTTGGCACAGTGGCTGCAAGGATGGATTCAAGCATGCAGGACCAGGCAGCATTTTGTTCTGTTGTGCAAAAGGTCTCTATGAGTTGGAGTCCACTCCATGGCAGCTTGCTATCTATCATTAAGACGTTCTATAATATGGAGTCCAAAATTCCCGGTGCCCCCTTCCATTCTATGCAAGAGAGCTACTTTGAAGCAGGCTCCACTTGGACTGCCATAGGCAAAGCCTTCAGATATCCATGGAGAGAAAAGTTACGGGTCTGTGGCCGCGCTGTTTATTGATTGCTGCAGGAGCGGCTGTTCCCTTCTTACCCCAGCCACAAAATGAATTGTTGGGGGAGTGCTGCAGAAGAGAGAATTGCTTCTTTTTCTTAAGTACAAAAATGGCAGCTCCGAGCTTGAAAGCAGACGAAAAATTAATAGAATTCATCAGCTTAACCTTGATTTACAAGATTCTGCATGAGGACAATGGGAGCTCTTTGTTAATATGCAGTATCATCACCTTCAGGAAGAGAGGCTCTCCTGACTTGGTGCTAATGATAGTGGAAAGCAAGAGGTTCCTTGACAAGTGTGTTTATCAAGTGCATCTGCAGTGCTATTTTGTACACTCAGTTGCAGCCTCTGTCATTGTTTTCCATGCTCATTTAACATGATGGACTTGTTTGGCAAATCCTTCAGGTGGTGGGAGGACAAGAAGAGGAGGAAGCTTACTCTGGATCATAAAATAAAAGATATTGGCCTCACTCACAGTCTCCAGCACTTCCTTCTCCTCACCCTTCTTGATCATCATGATTATTTGTTGTAAAGAAAGCAAACAGCCAGCAGTGCAGTCCTCTGTGTCTGTTGTTCTCGTTGCTCAGAGCACCATGGAAAAAGGGTTCTGGTATAATTGTCTGCTTTGACTTGAATTCTTGATTAGGAAGAAAAGAAAAGTTTGGCAAGTTCTTTTGCACTTATCTCAGGGAACTGAAATCCCCTGACCTGTTAAACAAAGTGAAGCAATTGTGGTTGAATGGTACAACTCTTGACTTCTCTGCAGGAGACCTAGGTTTGATTCCCAGCCAGTGCATCTTATGTGTAGCCACCACCTGTCTGTCTGCATGTTGCTATGATGCGGAACAGGTTTCAGCAAAGCTTCTAGACTAAGATGGATTAGGAGGAAAGGCCTGGTGATCTCCTTCCAAAAATCATCCAGTGAAAACCCTATGGATCACAATGGTCCAACCTGCAACCTATTATGGGGTTGGTGCAGGACGAACAGTATTTCCTTCTGTTGTGCATGGGGTCACCATGCATTGAAAGCCAACTTGACTGCACCTAACAACAATAACAACATTAAATAAGGTCGTTCAGATGTGTCTTTCCCAGTAGCCCCTGACATCTGTTTAGTGTTAGATGCCACACACTGTGCTAAGCACTTTGTGTTCATTTGCTTTATTTCCATAAAATAAGTCTGACAGTATTTCTTCTCATTTTTCAGAATACATAACTGAGATTCAGAGATGTGAAATGATCTGTCCAAAATCATACAGCAAATTAGTGGCAGAGCCAGAATTCTGAGCCAGCCTATTTCCAGATACCACATGTTAACCAGAACACTCTAAAGCAGTTCTGTCCAACAAATAGAATGCAAGACACATCTGACATGTTACACCGCCTAGTAGCTACAGTGAAAAAGTAAAAAGAAACAGGTGAAATTTATTTCAATAACATATATCATTTAACCCAGTTTGTCCAAAGCATTATCCTTTCAACATCTAATAAATGTTAGAAAATTATTGAGATAGTTTACTTTCTTTTTTTTTTCATACCAAGTCTTCAAAACCCAGTGTATCTTTTACACTGACCATCTCAGTTCAACTAACCACATTTCAAGTGCTCTATAGCCCCAAGGGGATAGAGCCTGCTCTACTGGACAGTTCAGCGCTAGACTTAGCTTATGGAGACAGAGTTCTTTATCACAGAAAGTTTGCTATGTTTACTACAGGTGTTATTTTGAGATGAGTAGAAAGAGGGCTTCATATGTGTTCTGTTGGTCTCTATGATAGAATGTGATACAGGATTGATAACTCCCTTCTTTCACCTCTTAACCCCTGTAAGACAGTCTTCTCTAATAAGTGTGGGTGTGTGGGTGTGTGTGTGTGTGGTGCATGTGTGAATGTGTGTGCGTGTGTGTTCTCATTTTCACAGTAAATCTCCACAAAATGTATAGTGTCCTTAGAAAATACTTCATGGCATAGACACTAAATTAAAAGAAAGAGAGAGAGAGAGAATATTAAGGTAAATGAAGATTTGAATCCCCTTACTGTCCATTTTAATTTGGGCAATCTCTCTGCATCTGTCTTTTTTTTTTTTTTTTTTTTAAGTTACCTATCCATATAGGATTGGAAACCTGGTGGCACAGTGGTTAAGAGCTACGGCTGCTAACCAAAAGGTCAGCAGTTCAATTCTACCAGGCACTCCTTGGAAACCCTATGGGGCAGTTCTACTCTGTCCTACAGGATGGCTATGAGTCGGAATCAACTCAACAGCAATGGGTTTGCTTTGGTTTTGGTACCCTTATAGGATTGCTGAGAGGGCAGTAATGCATTTAACATCATACCTGAGAAGTTGTTGTTGGCAGCTGCCGTGGAGTCGGATCCCGACTCATGGCAATCCCATGCGCAACAGAATAAAATGTTGTGCCGTCGTCAGCCATCCCCATGACTGGTTGTGAATCAGACCATTGTGATTCCTAGGGTTTTCATTGGTTGATTTTCAGAAGTAGATCTCCAGGCCTTTCCTCCTAACCTAAGAGAAGAAAATCATTAATAAGTATTTAGTTATTACACATTATATTCAAATTCTTGGTATGTTATTACTAGTTCCCATCAAGTTAGCTCTGACTCATGGTGGTCTTATGTAGAAGAGAACAAAACATTGCCTGGTCCAGCACAGTCTTCCTGAGTCCTTGTATAACTCCTATAAAAGATCAGTATGGACAAAGTCCCTAACCACGAATACAAGGGCATGGCATACACTACGCTGAAGTCACAAAGCAAACTTTACAAATAACCTATATATATTTGTGAATACCTGTCTGTATACCTTACAGGCAGTATCCGAGTTACAAATGTCCAACTTATGGACAATTCATACTTAACAATGGACTGCCATAAAGCCTATTGTATTAAAAACTTGAGTTAAATACATACAGTGGTTCATAATAACCAACGCATGCACTACTTTGTGATGCTCGTGAAAACATTGCACGGTTTGGATGTGTTTCTTAAGAAATGTAAAATATATACTATATACTAAGACAAACATTTGACTAACTGATGCAAAATAAGAACCGTCTGTATCTATTCCAACTTACCTACAAATTAGACTTAAAGACAGACTTAGGAATGGATCTTGTTCGTAACCTGAGGACTCCCTGTACTTAAATTTTAGTTGACCGTTGTCAGTATGAGATCTTGGTCATTTTTTTTGTCTCTTCCTATAGCTATCATGATATTGAGATCTACTTTGAAGGCCCTAAGTAATGATCTCCAAATTTCTGCAGTGCTTGCCTTAAGATTGGCAATTTGATAGGTAGAAAGGGAGGGGATCCTTTATGTTTTATTTTATATTATGTTGTTAGATTATGAATAATTTTTACATTTAAAATTTTTTAACCAAATAAAAAGTATTTTAGGTTTATATAAACAAACTAGTAATAATGACAATAATATATTTGTATGGTACTGAGTAATTTTTATTGTAAGTTCCTTTTTTAAAGAAATCAAATAATTCCTCTTATAAATTAATGTCATAACAAATATTTGGTTCAGCAGCTTGTGGTGGTGGTTTTCAGTCTACCAGCCTTGTATGTGTCTAGCACCAGGGTCCTAACAAACTGTGCCTGCTTTCTTTAGGAAACCTAGTACAGAGCAGTCAACCGTGGGGATATTACCCTATCAGATCATCGAAGTCACATATAAATGTTTACCCATGTTGTTTTTAAAATTTAACAAACAGGTGGTTCTTTGTCACTGATGTAAGAAATGGACAAGTCACTCCATATCCATAATTTGCCTTCAGTCTCAGTCTCTGGTCGGTGGAAGATTTAAGGATATATTCATATGTTGTTTTCCCTCTGAATTAACCTTTCTTTTTTCTGTCCATTCTTTTGCAGAGGTTACTACATAATAATTGTGCCTTTGAAGAAATCTCGTGGGAAATTTATCAAGCCCTGGGAGAGTCCGGATGAAATGGAGTTAGATGAGGTAACTGTGTCTTTGTTGACTGTGTCTTTCAGTAGTTATTTAATTTATTAAATATCCTCCTCCTCCCTCTGGAGGCGTTTTAGCATCTAATCCAGCTGCTGGCTTCCGCCTGGCTGGCTGGTCAGATGGCTCAGTGATGTCTGCAGTGTGTTAACCACGAGGAGCCTGACAAAGATCCTGTTGCTTTAATTAAAGAACATTAAGCTGCAATAAAGCTTACAACCTGTCTAATCTTGGTCGGCCTTAACATTTTGCCCCTTCCCCCTTGTAAAACATGTTGCAGAGGTATGAAAGCTGAAGTGACTTGTCAGCAAAGATTTAATCACCATTGATACGAATTCCAAGGTCCACTTCATCAGATGAGGGCTGCTGCGGCTGTTACAAACACTAAATTGGGATTTGCACCAGAGTTCAACGTTTGACCTACTGTGTGGGCTTTGCCACTTTCTCCCAGAATTCTGCTTGATCAGCAAAATGTGCCTCGTTCTTTATCCTTTAGGTTTTCAGAATCAAAAATGCATTTAACTTTAAGGGAAAACAAAACAAATCACAAAATTTTGAGCCAAACAAGAAATAAAGTACAAAGAATAGCATAAACACTAAATTGTATGATTTTAATTTCCAAAATCTTACAACAGTGGGTGTATTTTAATTTGTGTGTTCATTGGACGGCTGAGAAACTATTCATGTATTAGTTTCTTGTGTTTTTTTTTGGAAGTTAATGCATAGTATGAAGAACTGTACGTAGTTGTTTATACGACATGATGACGCATTGGTGGTTCAGTGGTAAAATTCTCACCTCAGTGTGGGAGACCGAGGTTCGATTCCCAGCCAGTGCACCTCATGCACAGTCTATCAGTGGAGGCTTGTGTGTTGCTTTGATACACAACATGTTTCAGCGGAGCTTCCAGACTAAAATAGACAAGGAAGAGAGGCCCAGTGATCTACTTCCAAAAATCAGCCAGTGAAAACCTTATGGATCACAATGGTCTGATCCACAGGTGGGCAGCATTTCATTCTGTTGTCCTTAGGGTCACCATGAGTCAGGGGTGACTAGATAGCAGCTAACAACGACATATCTAGATGCAAAAACTGTGATCCAGAAGTGTGTTAAGCCAGATCCCCAGACGGCCACAGCAAGGTAATGGCTGAGATTGACATTTTGAAATACAGAAGCTTCTGCTTCTTACCTTGATGCTCTTGCAAATCAGTTCATAAGGCAAATAACCAGCCCCCATTTGGGGAAATAGGAGATTTAATGTATTGGGTTATTTGACACTTCCTAGCACCGTTTGTTCTTTCTAGATATTTTCTCCACTTCAAATTAGTGCAGACTGGGGAGGAAGAGAGGAACCCCCCTAACGGCATTACAAGGAGATGACGTTTACTTCATTCATGCCTGTGTGAAGGAGACTTTGTGATCTGACAGATGAGAGCTGTTAGCTTCCTCAGGCAGACAGATGTCATCTCAAGGAGTACGGTTCATCACCCCCCACTTCATTTTATCTGAGTTAAATTTCATCACACGAAGAAGGGGGAGATGAGTTCAAGGTTAGGCTTGTGCTTCTGTGTCTCTGCTTTGTGACATTGGAGGGGAGGGAGTGTAAAATATCCCAGACACCACTCTAATCATGCCAAATAATTTAGGTACATTAAAGTTTTTTTTCTGTTGATAATAAAAGAACAAAATCATCATTCTGTAATACTGGAGGATACAAGATGATTAGCTAGCCTTTTACAAGTGCTTTGAAGTAGGCAATTATTTTACTTGTAACTAATGAGTTGAAAGGTCCCTGGGTGGTGAAAACAGTTTGCACTTTACTACTAACCTAAAGGTTGGCTCTTTATATCCACCCAGCAGTGCCATGGAAGAAAGGCCTGGCAATCTGCTTCTGTAAAGATTATAGCCAAAAAAATCCCTGTGGAGCACAGTTCTACTCTGTAACACATGGGGGTTTCCATGAGTTGGAATTGACTTGATGTCAGTGGATTTGGTATTGGTAACTAATTAGTTAACTCCTGAACTAGTCTTTGTTATCTTAAACCATTCTCAGCTGATGAACAGAACTGTCACTGTCCCATTTTAGCTGCAATTGGAATTTGAATGCAAAAGCTACTTGTGAAATCTATGTATCTTTCTAAATATTAAAAAAAAAAAAATTACGGCATTGAATCCAAGCCAAAAATGACATCAAGTGCCTTTGAATAATAAGCTTTCCTTAGAAATAGAGCCATTTGATGTCAAGTAATAGGAAGCTGATTCACTTTTACAGCCAGATTTTAACCTTCAAAATACAGCAACGCTAATGGATTAAGGTATAGGGCTATATGACACTGAACTTGCTTGCAATTAAATTCTGTGGGTCTGTGCCATTGATGGAGCCCTGGTGGTATAGTGGTTAAGAGCTCGGCTGTTAACCAAAAGGTTGGCAGTTTGAATCCACTAGCCCCACCTTGGATACCCTATGGGGCAGTTCTGTTCTGTGCTATAGAGTCGCTATGAGTCGGAATCAACTTGACAGCAGTGGATTTAGGTTTTTTTGGTGCTGTTGATCCCATAAGAGGGCCATTTTAATCTTCCCACAAGTTGTGGTTCATTAATCTGTATAATAGTTTGATAAAGAACATTTATTAATTCAAAAATTTGGGGTCAGGATGGGTTGTTTCCCACTTTTCTTACTGATATAATTGAGACCACATTGTAGAATTAATGGTGGAAGAAATAAGATATGTATTGACTGGAAAACGAAAATTATTTCTGATAAAGAACTAAAGCCCTTGATATATCTTCTAGACTTACCTCCAGCACATCTTCTAACTATTGTGGAGGGGAACAAAGAAGAGTAGGCCACGCCCTTCCTTCATGCTTACTCATCCAGTTTCTGATCCCTCCACACAGGCCTTTTTTTTTTTTTTTGCTTCCATGGATAATAAAAGCATTGCAGTAATTTTATCTATAGCTTGGCATTGCCGGGTTTGACAAAGCCGTGTTCCTCTCTTAAATGTATTTGACCAAATGATTTTTTTTTTTAAAGGCCTATAATTCAAATTGTTAGAACCATGTCATCGAATAGAGTAGGGGCCTAAGGGGATTTCCGCATGTATGCCTCTCATCGAGGCCCATAAAAAATGGAAAGAGGCCTTCTAAACAGTTACTCTCAAAATTATATTCTGAACTCATTCATTCTTTGTCTGGGAATACTCTTCACATGATAAATTCATAGACTGCTTTTGTCAAGATCAGAATGGGAAGAGTGGACATTGTTAGTCAAAACGAATTTTGGGCAAAATGACTCGTAAAATGTTAGTTATATTTAATTCAGGACAGGTCTTGCAGTATATCCGGAGCTTTTCATTGCATTGTACTTCAAAGGCTTGCCTTAAAATAATGAAGTCATTTGTGGCTGTAACTTCAGCATACTGGCTAACTTTGGTGTCATCTGAGCACCTGTGAACTACTTATATATCACACAGGAAGTGTCCTGCAGTGGTTAGAACAACCTAAAGGGTCAAGGTTGATGTTCCAGTTTTGACCTTAATGAATAACTGCTTTGGATCCAAGGAGCACCAAGCAACTCAATTATCTTATTCTAAAATACTTCCTCTAAGTCTTTTAAAGAACCTAGCAAGGTACTTGTGGGAATGACAATGATATGGATAAGTTATGACAGTAGCCAACATCTGAAATATGAATGAAATCAAGGGAGGGTTGATCAGTGAAGTAGAAGAGGAGACACAGCCACATAAACAGTTGATGGTAGATGTTTTTAATTAGCCAAGTCCAATAAGCTGTTCAGCGCGTCTGCAGTACCCTTGTCCTTCTCAAAGCAGTGGGCTGCCATCATTTACTGCATGTTAACACTAACCTTTGTAGTGACTTTTCAAGTATAACATTCCTTTGAATTTTTGGATCAGGATTTTTTTTTTTTTAATTAGCATGTTAAGCGAATCCAAGAAAAAGAAATGCCAGCATGAATTCATCTGTGCTAACAAAAGCAGATGCACAAAAAATACGTATGGCTGAGGTCCCTGACTGGCACAAACAGTTTGTTCTCAACAGCTAACCTAACGGCTGGCAATTTGAAACCATCCAGTGGCACCTTGGAAGAAAGGCCTGACGATCTGCATCCATAAAGATCACAGCCAAGAAAACCCTATGTAGCAGTTCTACTCTTGAACTCATGGGGTTGCCATGAGTCAGAATTGACTCACAGGCTGTGTTTTTTGTTTTGCTTTTTGTTTTGTTTTTTTAATAGTACAGACTGAGTCAAAACAACTTAGATTATCACAGCTTAAATGTCTCATTTGTATTTTCTTGATATTATGCAGTCATTAAGTAAACAAAAATATGGTTGAAAAACTACCCTACATGTAATTTCATTTTGTTTCACAACTTGAGTCCAATCATATACGGCCACTTTCTATTGTACGTCCTTATCTATAAGGTAAGGATAATAATAGTAGCCTAACCAATGCATGTTTAAGCAGCCTAGAACAGTGCCTACGTGTGGTAAGTGCTTAATTCATAACTATTAATGATTATTATTATCATAATTTATCATTATAATAATTTTTGTTATTAATACAAGTAGACCTAATTTGACAAGGATAGTGCTAAGCATCTAGCTTTGCTTTATTACTGGCCAATTAAACCAAAACCAGACCCATTGCTGTAGAGTCAATTACAACCCATAGCGACCCTATAGGACAGCATAGAAATGCCCCATAGGATTTCCAAAGAGCGGCTGGTGGATTTGAACTGCTGACCTTTTGGTTAGCAGCCAAGCTCTTAACCACGGTGCCACCTGCATAATTAATCATCCTATCTTAATTCATCATCATATGGACCAAATGTGCTAAACAGGTGATGCCAATGACCGTCTCACCTGGCAAGATAATTCAGCCTCTCCAGAGAACTAGATTCCGGAAGAAGTTGTGTCCATAATAAAATGTGAGGCACCCCCACTCCAAGTGGCTACTTAAGGAGCCTCGTCAAGCCAAAAGTTGTTAAATGAGTGGCAATATCTACTTAATATATGTAAATTAAAATTATTTATTGAATTCTGTTTCTCCTGATTTGAGAGAATCTGCATCATATAAATTATCTTATTACTAAGAACAATCTAAAATGCTACTGACCTCTCTAAAATTTAGTCATATTTGAAAGTTGAGATGGCTCTATCTGAGGTTGTACTTGTTCTATAAATCTCCCTACATGACAGGCTTTTATGAATCAAGCTGACTTTTCCTGGGGTGAGTTTTAAGGCACCATTGCCCTTTGGGAGGATTTCATTAGTGTGGACAAGGATGTGAGCTACTAATAAGGGATCTAATAGCCCTGTGTTTATAGCCCGGCCCTTGGTGTATCAGTCCAGTGTCTTATGTTAACAGGAAGGCAAGCATTAGAATTATCAAGGGAACTGAAATTTAGTGATGTTGACATGCTACATGACATGTGGACAAACTGTGTTTGGGTTGTTCCCAGGCCTGAATTAATTTCTCCCATTAAACTGCCAATAATTTGGGTTATTGTTGTTTACAGTTCTCTTTCTGTTTCCCACATTCTTCCTTAAGCTGCTTAAGGAGATATCTAGGAAACGCAGAAGCATCCGTTATGGGAGAGAAGCTGAATTAAAGCCATATATTGCTGCTCACTTTGACGTCCTTCCCACTGAGTTCACCCTGGGGGACGACAAACATTATGGTGGATTTACAAACAAGCAACTCCAAAGTGGTCAAGAATATGTCTTCTTTGTGTTAGCCGTGATGGAGCACACAGAGTCTGTAAGTTAATTACCATGGCATCTGCTTGCGGTATTCTTTTACATTTTCACCAATCCATCCTAATTATTTCTCATGAGCTGTCATTATCTTCAATGTAATAACAGGCTGCCAGCTCTTTGAAAATGGTTGAGTATATTGCTTGAGATTGCATTACAAACAAGACTGTGTCTATGATGACAGGGAATTTATGTGGACTTCAAATTGATGGGTCATATTTCTGGAGACTTTTGATATATCACACATGTCTATTGTAGGGTGATAGCTGTCAGTGCTTGCAATCTCCTTCCTCATTTTTGTTGAATGACCTTTTTAATCTTAAAAGAGCCCTGGTGGCATAGTGGTTAAGCACTCAGCTGCTAACCAAATGATTAGCAGTTTGAACCCACCTAGCGGCTCCGTGGTAGAAAGACAAGGTGTAGCAATCTGCTCCTATAAAGATTCCAGAGGAAAAAAAAAAAAAACACAAACCCACTGTTGTCGAGTTGATTCAACACATAGTGACCCTATAGGACCCCGTAGGGTTTCCAAGGCTGTAAATCTTTACGGAAGCACACTGCCACATTGTTCTCCTTTGGAGCAGCTAGTGTGTTTGAACCGATGACCTTTTGGTGAGTAGCCAAGCACTTAACCACTGTACCACTAGGACTCCTATCCATAAAGATTACAGCCTAGGAAACCCTATGGGGCAGTTCTACTCTGTCCTATAGGGCCACTATGAGTAGAAAATCAACTTGACTGTACCTAGCAACAACATTCTTCTTGTGTAATAGCTGATAGACATTAGCTCATGTGATAACAATGGGAACTAACAAGCTCTAAAATTCAACATAGTATATATTCAACATACTGAATCTGAAGGTATTTTCTTCTCCTGTAACTGCCATTGAGACCTCATTGATGTCTCCCCAGGTTCATGGGGAGGGTCTGTCTAGGACGCAGCAAGCAGAGGCAGCTTCTGTAATTGCAGCATTTAATAGTGACTTTATCAGTGAAGAGCTAAGAAAGTTAGAAAATAATTCAATAAAATGGAGAATTCCTAAGGTATTCTTAGGAATAATAATGAGTTGTCTTCTTTTATGTAATTCATCTTGCTCTTGTGTCATTTTATGCTTGATTTGCTTTAAATGTTTAAAATGAAGAGAGAGAGAAAATTGTTGGGGGCGGGTAGGGGTTGGATTTTGAAGTAGCCATCTACATTAACAATAATATACACATTTCAAACTGTATCTTTCTAATCGGGACATAAATCTGACAGACAAGGCAGCTCAGCCCAGCCAGTCTTCCCCGTATGTAAGAAGCCCACTGTTAGCAAAGGTTGCTCCACATCAGGTGTTAGGTTGTACAGGGGGGCTTCTCATCAAATGACGGAAGGATTTCCCCTGTGGAAAATCAAAACACAAAGGCAGCCTTTCTGGCAGGTTTACCTCCGCGCACAGAATGTCGTTAGAAAACAGTGACGGGCTTCCTGGAATTTTTAATGCACGAATATGCTTTCTCTTTCTAGTTGAAGGTTTTAAAGCAGAACATCAAGGGAATGGAATGTTGGATATCATCTGTCTTTTTTTTTTAATGACTTTTAGATATTTGAGAGGAATTTTCTTTAAATAGCTCTAGGAACAATTTGAAAAGCACTTTTAGAGCCTTGAGGTAGATCAGAGAATCCAGCAAAGAAGAGAAGTCGTATCAGATCCAGGCTGACTGTAACACCACTGGGGAGACTCTCGTTTCTAATCCCTCCCAAACGTTCCCTCCAGAATGTCTATGTGTCCCCACTGATGAAGAATCTACCTCTTAGTATATCATCACACTGGTTCACTGATTTTCTAATTAGGATTATTTTTCCCCAAATAATGTGATCTAAATTGCCCATTTTCTCCATCATCTTTCTCCACATTGCTGTCAAAGCTAATAACATTTATGTTTCATAAATGTTTTCGGTCCAGCATGTATGTTATAGAAGATGCTTGGTCCAACCAGTGTAATGCAAACAGTGATAAAGTCCTTTTGTAAGCCTCAAATACTCATGACTGATTGTTAAATAAAGTGCCCCACCTCTCCAAGGGTGAACTGATAATTTGCATAGAGACAATATCACCCCCATCCCCACACACATCCCAAAGAAGAGCTTTTCCCATCCCGTTGCCTCATATTAAGAATATCAGAAGGCCGGTTTAGAATGACCTATGGTTTAATCTTTTCTAGTCTCTCCACACGCTGAACAAATTCCACTTTTTATGAGGCTGGTATCATTTTTATGGCTTTGTTTTCTTTTCATTTTCATCTCTGTTTCCTGATTTGGGATGGAAATGGAAATATCTATGTGCTTTGGGAAAAGCTGTGCTTAGATTTCCATCTTGGCTGACCAAGATTATTATCTCAAAGTCCCTTGGTAAAGAATTTTAAATCAGAAAGTTTTGCTTACTTTCTGTCCGCTGAACAATTTGAATGTGACCTACAAGCTGGAAGGGGAAAGTAGGAACCAAAACAAACAATTATATAAAGAATAATATTCTCAAATATATAGTCAGCTTGCCAAGTCCTTTGTGTAAATCCTTATACCATACGTATTTTTTTTCTTTTTTTTTTTAAACTGTTTCTGAGAAGGTTGGAAATATACTGAGTTTCCATCTTCTTTTGATGCATATGAAAGTCTCAACATCTAGTTAATCTCTTTCCTGGACATACTGAAGAAAATAAGAATGGTCAAGCTTTTCTCTGTGGACCCGGCTTCCCCTATCATTTGCTTTTCCAATGGAAGGAAGGATGGTAGACCAGCTATCAGTGAAGGCTATGTTCTCCAGATTGGGCATTGAGCTTTTGTATTTAAATTCAGGAAATATTCCCTAAACTTTTTTTTTTAATGCAGATTTTTAAAAAATTAAATATATTCACTGATCATGAAAAATGAGCCTATTCCCTCATGTCTTGATCATCTTAGCCATTTGAAAAGATGAACAATTTATTATATTCAACAAATATTTGCTGAGAATCCACTAAGTACAAAATTCTGTGCTTCCTGCTTTAAACATACAATGCCATGTAGAATATAAGCCCATACCTTCCAGGAATGTATAGTCTCATTAAAGAAAATAAGGCATATGCACAAATTAAAAAAAAAAAAAAAAGAATTGCTGAATGCCATTTAAAAAAGGAATAAAGGACTATTTGAAAATGTTGAATTTATTATTTTACCTATGTTTTCTAGAAAGCCATTATTTTATAACTAAAATAGACTCTCTTTTTCCTCAGAAGATGTATGCAACCAGCCCCTACTCTGACCCTGTAGTGTCCATGGATCTGGATCCACAGCCAATCACAGATGAGGAAGAAGGCTTGATCTGGGTTGTAGGTCCTGTCCTTGCAGTGGTCTTTATCATCTGCATTGTCATAGCTATTCTCCTTTATAAAAGGTAGGTTTGCCCAATATTTCTATTGCAGCCTGCTCCACTTTTGGAGACTTAGTTATTATTCTGTGTTCATGACATGGTTGATTATAGTAGAAATGCTTTAGTGCCACCCCAATACATTTTGGAAACAAGTTTCCATTCTAGCTAGAAACTTGATGTAAAGACTGTGCTGTTTAAAATCTCATGCAGCGTGTGGTATGTACAGATTCTGTTGTCCAGCGTGCAGGGATCCCACCTGCTTTATGCAGTCTGAGCATTTTGCATGTGAATTGAGACATAAGTAAGTCCACAGCAGGCAGTTCCTGTACATGCTTGCATTTGATTGTTTTTGATGATTAATTGCTTAATTTCAACAGGATGTTTGCAACACTGACAAATTTGCCCATTTGTGTCCATAAGTTGAACATGCACATGTGCTGAGATTTTTTCCCTGTTACTATTTCTCAGAAATTATCAAAAGTAGCTAAAAATGGAGGATTAAATAAGGGGAAAAAAGAGAGAGAGAAGGAGAATGAACTCTCTTCTTCCTCATTTACTTCTCACCCTTATTCTACATCTTCAATAGTTAGTTCTCGTTTTTGTCCAAGAGAGGATGGAAGGTACAATTTTCCTTTGTAAAAAAAATACAACCTCGATCTTTGTAGTGCCAAGTGCAAAGAATTTGTATCTACCCAGTCTTTTCTGATTTTCCATTCTTTTCAATCTATCTCTGCCTCCGTTATATATAAGCAAAGTTTTATTTCCTAGTTCACTGCCCAGTCAGTTGGGTAGAAGACATTAGTCATTCTTTTGTCCCCTAAATACTTTATGACTTAAATATATTATTATGAAATTATATAGATATAAATTTATAAAACATTTTTAAATCTTTTAAATGACTAAATCCTGTAAATTCTGAGTTATCTCCCTTTAAGTCAACTTCCTTTATTCTAATGAAATTTTATTTCCATAAAACTTTAATCCCTGTGTTACCATTTTCCATTGTAGTGTGGTGTCTCTCAGCATGCTGATGTAAAGATGATCTTTTCTCTTTACCATGGAGCTTCTCCCCATCTCTCTCTTTCTCTGTCTCTCTCTCTGTCTCTCCCCATAACCTTGGACTTCAAAATCAAATGAAATATCTTCACTGGATTCTGATTCAGTGCTTAATCTTATAATCTGATTTCCATTATTTCTCTTTCCTACCCATATAGCTTCTCCATTGGGTTTATGTTATTTCTGCCCCGGTCCTCTTATCTTGACTCTTAAAAAAATATCCTTCAAATACTTTCCTGTTGAAAAACTTTTTCCTATACGGCCGCGTTCCGTTTATTCCAGTGTGAAGAATGGATTGAGAAAAAAGACAAACTAAAGAAAGTTCATAACCATAACCCATTAAATTACCTCTTTTAGAACTAGAAAGGATGAAAGAAATATCCATTATTTTTTTCCCGATGACCACCATCCCTCAATTAGCCATGCCATAAAAGAGCTGAAAAAGCAAGTGGTTGAAGGCCAAAACCTCCTTTTAGATGATGAATCTTCCCACCCCACTCCCTTATCTGAGTGCATCCTGAGGAGCCCATTGTATTATATTGCCTCTCTCTTGTGTACCAGGTAAGGGCAGGAAGCACTGAGAACCCGCACCCCAGAACAATAATAGATCCTGTTTGAGTCCAGGCAGGGGCTAGTGCCCTTTGCAGTTCTTATCTGTATTTATCACCAGAATATTATATAATTATAAAAAAGCAAAGGTAGAATTCTAAATGTTTTCTGGGAGATACTTATTCAAGTGGTCCTACCTTTCTGCGGGTGTCAGATCAGAAAACAAGTGCTTGCTGACAGTTCATTTCTAGAACATGTCACGTGACATTCCGTGATTATTCAGAGTGGACAAGTTGTGTTTCATTTGGATGTATCTGGCTACCATCGATGTATGCCACTTAACACAGAAGAGCTCAGCATCTATGAGTCAGTTATGTAAACGGGAAGAAGTAGGATTATAGCGTTAATAATTTCTTAAAGATTTATTATGGTTTTCCTTTCTTTATATGCCTGTGCTGGAAAACAACACCCACTCAGTTATCATTTTGCCTAAAGCTTCAAAAAGAGGCATCGTATTTGAAGATTTTATGAGCTGTTAAAAGAGAGTCTCATTTTAGTGTGTGCGTCTGTATCGTCTAATGCAATTGTTGGAAAATGCACACATCCTCGCATGCTCAGTATATTTAGCTAGCCATCTGAAGGCCCATGAAGTGTTTCTGAAATAGAAATGCTTGCTTCAGCAGTAAAGAACATTCCTGACTTGAAATTCAAGTAGACTCAACAATGTCCTTCTTGATTATCATGAGGCGGTTCAAGAGAAAATCTTCTGTAGTCAATGAATAGTGGCTTTTAGAGCTTGGATTCTGAACAAAGTTAATTATATAATAAATACTTGATCCTTCTTTTTAGGTGCTTCTTGGTTTATACCCAAGTCATTGGCTCAGAATTGGATTTTTCATAATTATCAGTATTATTATTTTACTTCCTGTAGGCAAGTAATATTTTAAGAAGAGAATGAGTTTAAAATGTCATGTATTCACATTTTCTTAGTAATCCCCTCTGTCATTTGCACCAACTTACAAGACACTTGAGTTAGGAGAATGATCTGTAGCTACAGAAATATATTTCATCCACGTAAAGAAGTATATTTTACCCACGTGTCTGAAGAGACCTTGAAACTTATTCCTATTAATTATATTAACATGGAAGTGGTACACTCTTTTATCTGGCATTCTGTTCATTTAACTTTGTTTTAACCCAGTCATTTGTACACCTCTAATACATTAATAATCAATAATTAAATGATATCACCGAGGCTTTGTAGAGCTCTAAAATACGTTCTGAATCATCAGAAAAAATAAATTATATTTGGTAGGTCTTCAGTGTTATAAATTATCTGGCTCTATGATTTTTGAAATTTTGTACTCTAAATGTGATATGTGCAATGATTTAAAAATTGAAATTGACAGAGATGAGATGGTAGCGAGACTTAGAAAAAACTGAACAAGGAGTCAGGAAACCTGAGTTCAAGTCCCATTCTGGGACCAGCAGGATATATGGGGTAGCAAGTCATGGCACCCCTCTGGGCCTCAGTTTCCTCATTCATAAAATTAGGAGGTAGATTAGATAATTAAATATTTTAAATAATAATATTCTGGAATCTTAGAATATCAAAAATCAGTTAAGAGAGTGAGTACTATATGTTTGCCTTCCTGTGTTTTGTTTTGCTTTGTTTTAAATATGGCTCCTGGCCGCCCTTCATCAGATCCCACTAAATAATAATAATAATAATAATCCACAAAGCATTTTCCTGTTCTTAGATATTCTTCTATTCTGTACACCTGTTACATACGTAAGGCTTTTCAGTCTCTAGTTCTAGAACCGTCCAGGAATTATTTATATAGAAAGTAAATATTTAAAAATAAAATGTTAACCTGACTGTTTGGAAAAGCTTTACAAGATGGATGAGAAATATTTACTACACACTATGGAAATAAAGAAAACGTGGATTAGGAGATCAGAGAGGTCTCAGGCACAGCCTAGACAAAATTCACATCCTTGGATGGTAGTAGTTAAACCTGAGTGGATATTGTAGAGAGAGTAGATAATCCTATCCCTAACCCAAGGGTTATGGGTAAAGAACATAAGGTAGATGTGACTAAAACAAGTTTGCCATCAAGTCCATTCTGACTCATGGTGCCCCATGTGTGTCAGAGTAGGACTGTGCCCCATAGGGTTTTCAATGGCTGATTCTTCAGAAGTAGATCACCAGGCCTTTCTTCCAAAGAACTTCTAGGTGGACTTGAGCCTCCAACCTTTTGGTTAGCAGCTGAGCGCTTAACTGTTTGCATCACCCAGGAACCCTGACTAAAACATAGGCGTCAAGTTTTCCCAACTCTGACCCTGGCTGTCTGCAGACTTTGCCCCTGTATTCTTCTTTTTTTATATCAACCCTACATGTATCTCCAAGCTGTCAGCAAAATATTTTGATGATGCTTGAAGAAATGTGCAGCCACCCCAGCCACAGTGGCCAATGCCGTTTCTGCCTTCTGGCCTTGGAGTATGCCCCTCACTAAGCCCACAGTGCCTTCCTGTCCCTCCTCTGTCATTCCTCCTGGCCTGGCTAACTGTAACTCTCCCTTTAGAAGTTAAGGTAAGATGCCACCTGCTAAAGAAAGCCTTTCTTGATGCCTCCTCCTTCTCCCCGTCTCTCTACCAGCCCAGGCTGCCTTGTCATTGTTATTAGCTGCCATTGAGCCAGCCCCCAACTCATAGGAACGCAACAAACAGACTGTTGTGATCCATAGGGTTTTCACTGATATTTGGAAGTAGATGGTCAGGCTTTTCCTCCTAGTCTGTCTTAGTCTGGAAGCTCTGCTAAAAAAACCTGTTAAGCACCACAGCAACACGCAAGTCTCCACTGAGAGACAAATAGTGGCTGTGCGTGAGGTGCCCTGATTGGGAAGTGAACCCGGATCTCCCACATGGAAGGCACGAATTCAGCCCCTGAACTACCACTGCCCTCCCAGCCTGCCTTAGTGTCTCCTTTTCTATGCTCTCGAAGCACTTTCTACTTACCGATATTATAGAACGGTGATTGCTCATTTTCTTGCCTTTCTCTCTCTGCTGAACTGTAGATCAAGGCCTTTGTCTTATTTCTCATTGTGCCCTCTGTGCCTAGTAGAGTGCCTGGCACAGATGGGTACGGAGTAATTGAATGAAAACAAGTCAAATAGTATTAAACAAACCTGATTACCCCACTTGTGTTCTCAGTCACTCAGTATTACCTTCAGCTTGGCAGGCAAGACTGTTAATAAAACCTAGGCCTCTTCTTTAAATTAGCCAGTTCCCAAACCCTTCACACTTTGATATTTGTGCTGAATATGTACCTATGTGTATGAAGAGGCTGACATTTCTATGGAAAAGGGAGTGGATTGCCCACCAGTTAGGCACTCCTTCATCCACGTTCAAAACTCATTCATCAAGCTGCTCTTCAGTATGCAAAGCTTATAATTCATTTAGTGGTGCTCTTCCATCCAGTGGAATACAGTTCGTTACCGCTGACGTACTGATAATTTCACTGATAAAAGAGCAAGTGAAGAACATACATGTAGGATATTTTTGAACCTGGCACACTAGATAAATCATTTTAAAAGTAGGGATAACAAGAATGAACCAGTGTGTTTGATATCATTTTCATCGTTGACTTTGTATGTGTGTTTGTGCAGTATAAATGTGGATTTTAAATTTTTGGATAAGATGGACTGGATTATCTTATACAGCCAGATTCTCCAGCAGCCTATCTATTTCACTGGCATTAAGGAAGATAGTACTTTTCTTTTTGAAATTGAGAACTCTTAATACTTTGCAGCTTGCCTCAGAGTGAAAAATGGTTTAGATTGATTCTTCTTGGGAAAATATTATGCTCTCTGCATAAGAAATATGGTTATTTAAACATTCCACATGTTGGTGTAAGTGCCTATGAGTGTGAGCTTGACATGTTCACAGACAATACCTCTTTTACTAGGAAAGTCTATATCATGGCAATGGCTGATAATAACATGGTTTTCCGTTATTAACCCAGCTATATAGATGAGTCATGCTCTGTATATTCATAATGATGAGTATTATGTTTTCCAAAACTCAAAATGTATTTAATCCTTTATTGGAAAAAAAAAAAAAGATTTATGATTACTTTTTCTGGTCAAGAGGTATTTGAGGGAATCATTTCTGCCACTTTATTAACCAGCAGTGCAGTATACAATTGTGCGAACTTTTTATGCAGTTCAACCAAATTTGCAGGTATTTACATCATTAAAAGGGATAGTGTACCTCTTCACGGAAGACTTTTTAAGTGAACAAATACATGGAATAATGCTGCACTCCCCTGAAATACATTTGTGGTTTTTTCATGGCACGTTTTCTAAAAACCAAATTATATCCTTAGCATGAAACACCTCCTGGGATATAATTAATTGTGGCGTTATTTTGTAGGTGATGGATAAAAGTGAATGTGACGGTAACACAAAAAATGCTTTGTTTGGCAGTGTGCCCTCCTGTCCTCCGTGTAGCTCGTGATTGGAAGCCTTTAAACGTTTTGATAAGCTGTTGTTTCTTAATACGTGTCGGTCGTGTCATAGCTTGTGAGCGCTGTTTCTTAAATCTTGGTTGTCGTGGGTATTCTCATTACCGTTGGCCAACTAACATGTAGTCTCTTTTTCCCTTTTTGCTGCATTAAAATGGAGCAGTAAACCTGACAGGTGAGGAATAGAAAACGAACCCCTTTAATGCTCACTAAGAAAACGAAAAGACACTGGTAGACTTTGAGGAATTGAGAGGGTGAGGGTGGGGGCTGGATATAAAAGATGATGCCTGGCAGAGAGGCAGATGGGTAAAGTGTGTGTGTGTATATATATATGTATATATATATATATAAAATACATGTATATATGTAAAAACATATATGTATATATATATACATATATATATATTTAGTAGAATGATTCTAGAAGAAATAAATATTTTGTTTTGTCTCTATAACAAGTAGAAACAGACTTTTTTTTTAAGTCACATTTAGAATGCGGTGGAAACCAGTCTCTAAGTTGTGTTTGTGGCCAGGGTAAAATGAATGTCTGTATGTGCTAACGTGTCTTCAGAGCATACATGTCAGGTGTCCCGTGAGCCTTGTTTGGTTTTGTTTGTTTTTACTGAAGATCAGTTTTCCAGTTTGGTCTAAGGTCAGTTCTCTATAGAGGAATGCTATCATTTTTGCACCCTGCTAATGGGAACATAGGAGTGCCTGAGTAAAATCCTTGTCTAATTTAAAATGATTATCCCATGTCTCCTAGTCCTGGATAATAATACCAACAATTTTAGCTGTTATAATTATTATTAATAGCTATAATTGAGTGAATATGGGCCCAAACTAACCTTCTAGCATGCATATATATACACACACACACACGTACATACAGATGTATATATATGTATTAGTATGTGTGTATGTATGATACATATATATATCATTCCTGGATTTTAAAAAAAAATTAATCAAACTAAGAGAAGATTCTTGCAGTTCATCCTCCCTGCCTTCCTCACCATGTTGTTTGTCAGTGATGCTCAAAGTGTGGTTTCTGGACCAGCAGCAGTAGCATCACCAGAAAACTTGTTAGAAACACAGCTTCTCAGCCCTGCCTCGCCAAGATCTTCAGAATCAGAAACTCTGAGCGTGGACTGAGCAGTTTGTGTGTTAACAAGCCCGCGCAAGTGATTCTGATGCATGCGAAAGTTTGAGAACCACTGCTGCCTCATTTTCCCTAAAATCACTTACCACCACTCGGAGAGCCACACTTCAGTGACAGGCCACTTACTACGCCACGAGGGTGTCTTTTTTTTTTTATTTATTTTTGAACATCAACAATTGCCCTTAATCAAGAGAAAAGCATATGCAAAATTGTTTTTCCAGGCGAAAGACAAAAGCTATGAACTCACTTCCTATACTCAGAGATCTGCCTTTCACTGTCTCACTGTCCACATGTTACAACTTCATCGCTGCCTCCTTGTTCTGCTAAGATGGTAGAGATGGGCCAAAACTTAAACATCATCTCCTAATCCTCCTCCTCTATTTAAAAGTGAAGAAACTGAGAAGGGCATTTGTAGCTGACTTGCCCAAGGAGGACACAGCAGTGGAGGTAGAGCTGGGATTACATTTTTTCATGGTGTCAGAGTCCTGACATGTTTGAATGGACTCTTTGAATGTTAGTAGTAGTGATTTCAAATAAATGTATCTTTCCATCTGAAGCCTATGCCAGTATCTGACTATCTTTGTTCCAGTTAAATAGATGTAACCTCCCATTGTTCTTGCTTCTTGCTTTACCCCTAGATGAGAGGCAGATTGAGAATAGGTAAAAAGAAAACACCCCTCAAGACTATAGAGTAGCATTTTTGTTGTACGTTACCCACATCCCAAACAACCATGTGTTTTTATACCATTAGCAATTTCTGGAAGATCTGGAATGTCACGTGATCTTCCATTTCCTTTTCATCCACGAACCCCTGTACATGGTGATACTTCTCACTGTGGGAAATAAAGTTGGATTAGGATTTATAATTTTTATAGAAAAAAAAACTATAAAAGATATGCCAAATTCAGAATCTGTTTCTAGTCACTATTCTTTGCTTTTCTAATTAAACATGAGAATTGATGAGACCTCTGAAAACTGATCAGGAGAACTGTCACTATTTCAATCCATGTTGGGCCTAATTTAGACCATCGTATGCCATTTAATACAGCAGCAAATTCACTTTATAAAGCTCTTAAAAATTATTACTGGTGATGACCAAATTCTTCACCTGTCAACCCTTTCTTAGAAATTCTTTCTCTCTCAGATAACAACCACTTTAGCCCACATGTGTTTAAAGGTAATGGGATAAGAATGTGAGCATCCAGAATTACCCATATTGTAATAATCAAACAGAACTAAGCAAAACAAAATATAAACTGCTGGGTTTTTTCCAGCTGACTAGGGTTTTGGGGGTCTGTGGTCTTTGGGGTCATTTCATTTGAGCAGATAGAGTGAGGGAGTTGTTAGTTATTAAATGTCAGGTCACCCCCTCCCAATTTATTACAAGTATGAATTACAGTTTTAATCTCATTCTCTAGGTTGTCTGAGACTCATATCTAAGCACAAGAGACGATTTTCAACATTCTTGGTATCAGACAGTAGAGCCACTAAGGGAGAAAAATCCAGATTTTAGTAATTGGGCTCTGGCACACCAGTAAAGAAATAATCTATGCCAACTTGTGGGTGAAAAAGACCAAAACCTGAGCAGGACCACTGGCATTTTTTGAAGTGAGACAAGCAACCATATGTTCTAGTCCCACTTGGTGGTGTTCCATGAACCCATATAGATTTTGCATCCTCTGGGGTCAAATGAATCTCCCAGTGTTGTGAGGCCAATACTCACAGCATGGACACAGTGACATTTTCTACTCTGAAACTGGTCATCCTGTCCTTCTTTCATGTGGTCTTCGAGTCCCTCTTTCTCATGTCTTTCTCATTAGCCCTCCATCTCTTCTTTTCCTTTCCTTCTCCTTTTTTACTCCATACAACTGGAGCAGCTAGTACCTGGGGCCTCATCTCAAATTCACTGCTCACCTCTGATTGGTAATATGGCTTGGCAGTACATTGTGTCCTAAGGCTGTACCTGGCACCTTCAAGTAGAAACAAGAAAGCCTGAAACAGGTTAATCCAAGGTACTGAGAAGGCAATGTGTCGAATAGGACTCACCCACAAAAATTCATTCCATCCACGATGTTTCGCCAAAGGCATTGCACTTGAGCAAATCGAATGTACTTTCATTTTGCATCAATCTTCCCTTCGTCCCCTGGTTAGTTTTATTTTATGCAGATGAGTAGAGATGGAAAGAAAGGCTATTTAGCAGGGACCCTCTGGCTACCTATAGAACAACCTGGCATCACATGAGAGCCCATTGCTACAGCAACACTAATGAGCTGTACCACAGCCTTATCCTAGAAAAGAAAGAGGGAGAGTTCCTAAACACTTTTCAGCACCCCTTCCCCTAGATAAGAAGTCCTTTGCTTTGAGCAGGAGTGAGATGCAGTGATTATGACTTTAGTGTGGAGCTTTCGGGAATCAGTATTTGGCATCAATCGCTCTTCAAAACAGTGCTTCGAACCAGTTCACTCATGGCGGATGAAGCAGAACCAGCACAGACCCGAATTTTTAAAATTTGAGTGAACTGGAACAATAACTGGAATGGGAAAAATTACAGGTTGAAGCTCTGAAATAGGAGACTCAAAAGAGGCACCGTGAGCCCTTCCAGGAGTCTGATGGTGAGATTGGATTATTGGTGGGACAGTGGAGAGCGACACACACTCAAAACTGAGTGGTTGACTGCCGTCTTTGAGTAGGGTACAGCTGTTTCCACCTCTGCTGAAAATCCTACAGTCAAGAGATTTGGTTGCTATGCAACGCATAAACTGCCCTTGCTCTTTAAGAGGGAGACTAAGTTTCTAGCAAGGCTTCAACCTCTGATTTTTCCCATTCTGGTTATCGTTCTGGTTCACCCAAATTTTAAAAATTTGGGTCTGTTCTAGTTTTGCTTCCTTGGCCATGACTAAACTGGGAAGAACCAGTTCAAAGCCCTGATTTGAAAAAGACTTCCATTTGTTAAAGAAGATTTTAATCTAATTCAACTTGGAAGAAAATAATTCATTATCACTATGCTTATTTGAGTTTGAAAAAAAAAATTGATTAAAGAATCTTAGGAACATCTGACATTTCTTGCTTAGACATTTGTTAAAATTATAATATGACAGCATAAGCAAGGATATTTAATAAGGCTAAATAAAGTTTAATAAATAAATTTAATAAAGCTAAGCAATAAAGATAAAATGGATTGTGTGAAGAATCATATTTTTAACCAGGCACTGTTAATAATTCATGTCTTGAATGATTATCTGGAGCATTGGACTTACCCACTAGATTAAATTACTCTTTCTCTGATATTTCTTTGACTGACTTTCATTAACAAAATATGAATCATAGTTTAACAACATAAACAGCCAACACTGTTTTTTCTTCCTTGAAATTTGGAAGAGACAAGTGATGTTGGTTTTGTGTGGTTCCAGTTCTTCTCCCAAGTGTTCTGATGACTTGGCCCCCTAGGGATTCCCTTACTGTATTTACCTGCCTTATGGAAAAATTCAGTACATCTCCACTCTGTAGCCACCATTTGCACAGAAAGGAACAAAGAGAACAGATTTAGCTGATCAGCTTTAGGCCAGGTAGTTTTAGAACTTTTCTCTAGGTAAAATGATTCTTAGTATTGGCTACTAGGGGACCCCTACCCTGCTTCTCACAATTAGAAAGAGTGGATAAGCGAGAATCGCTGAAGAAGGGTCTAAGTATATCTCACCAACACTCCCCTTAAGCACTGAAGGCAGAGTCACTGAATTATTAATACTAGACCTGAAGGAGGACTTAGATGTCATCTACTTCATCTAAAATCTTAGCTATGAGGAAACACTACCGGCCAAGAGAAGAAAAGCAATATGAACAAGGTCACAAAGCTCACTGGCTGAAAAGTTTTAAAAACGAGAACGTGGGTGAGAGATCCTCTGCTTTTTTTATCTGTTTCCCTTGGTTTTTGTTTTATTCTGAAATTTCTGTTTGCTCTCTATAGGAAGAGGGCAGAGTCTGACTCTAGAAAGAGCAGCCTACCAAACAGTAAGGAGGTCCCTTCCCACCACCCAACAGACCCCGTGGAGCTGAGGCGCCTTAATTTCCAAACACCAGGTAAGAGACACGACTCATCTTGTCCATCATACAGTCTTTAATGAAAGTGTTATAACCCAACTGATAGTGCCTTTAGAGACAAATATATCACTATGTTTCGAACAATTTTGTTCATTCTGCTCTTCTATTTTAATATTCTTGAAACTTGCCCAAGCAAAGATCAGAAAGGAAATTAAGTTCTTTGTGCAAATCTGAGATGGAGTGGAGAAGAAAGAGAAATGTAATTCTATGTCAAATTTTTGGAGGAAGTATAATATTTGTAAGAATATTTACCACTTTCGTAGGCTTAATACAGTTTATTATTATCAATGACACCAATCTAGAGAAAATTCAGTTTCTCATCTTGATGGATGGATGGATGGATGGATGGATGAATGGGTGGGTGGTTAGGTGAATGGGTGGGTGGGTCATTCATTCCATTAGGAAAACATAGATTTGTCCCATATTTTCCTATTTATCAGTGTCTTATGATATTCTAAAAGAAAGAAACCAAAAGGAAGGAAAATGAGGCAACATTTTAAAAAATCTTTTTAGTATTACGTATACCAGATCTTACTGACCAGTTTGGGTTTCCTGCTGGGGAGACACCTAAAGTTACTGAGGATAAGAAAATGTGTTTGTTTCTTAAAACAATGAACATAAAGTGCTTCAACACAGGAAAATATTATTCCTGTTGAAGAGCATTTTGTACAATATTGTTAATTCAAACCTAGCTTCACTTTGCTTTTTCTCAAATAAATCTTGTTTAAACCAAATAGTAAATAATGAATTGTAGAGAGAGCTAAAAATGTAAAACTGATTGGCATGGATGGCACTGGCTTAATACCTTATGCTAATGAACAAAGTAAAAATCTGACCTGAGAAGTATTTTAGATTAAAATTTGGTTGTAATAGGCTCCAAACTGTTGACAAGTTTCTTAGGTTTCAGAGTGGATGCTTTCACTCACAGTATGGTACGCCCCAGGTTTATTAAACTACACATTTGCAGTGAGTTGTTTTAAATGTCAAATACATGTAATTGTGTTTAGTCTATTTTCTTTTACATGTAAGTGTATCCTAGTAACTAGTAACTCTCCAACTGAAAGAAATGTCCATCATTTTCGAAGTACCTGTACAAATCATGATAAATGTGGGCTGTTGTTCTTATTAATTCTTCCTCAAATGAGCTTAAACTTTCTTAAAATTAGTTTTTAAAAAGCAAAAGTTATGCCTTCTTCAGCATAACATTGGAAAGAAAATGGTCATGTAGCCAAAATCTCCTGTATGCATTTTTTTAAAAGGCTGATAAAGGCAGAATAGGAACACGTACACAATAGTTGAACAAACTTGCAAGGTCCCCCAGGATCATTGTGATCCCCTGGATGCTCCATGTGATGCTGCCCTTTAGATGCTCCGTTAGTCTACTTAATATGGATTGGGTTAAGGTTATTGTAGCAAACATTCTTAGTTCAGCACTTTTACAAATAGGAGTGACTACTTCAGCTATAACCCAAACAAAACCCACTGCCGTTGAGTCGATTCTGGCTCATAGCGACCTCACAGGGTTTCCAAGGCTGTAAATCTCTATGGAAGCAGACTGCCATATCTCTCTCCTGCAGACCCACTGGTGGTTTTCAACTGCACCGTTTCAGTTAGCAGTTGATTGCTTTAACCACTGCGCCACCAGGGCTTCTCAGGCTGTAAGCAGCCTCTTAATAATGGACTCAGGCCTTGGAATACTTTTTAGTTTGGCTACCCCAATGTATAAAACACCAGTTGTTACGGAGTCGACTCCAACTCATGGCAACCCCGTGTGTGTCAGAGTAGAACTATGCTCCATAGGGTTTTCAGTGGCTGATTTTTTGGAAGTATATCTCCAGGCCTTTCTTCTGAGGCACCTCTGGGTAGACTCAAAGTTTCAGCCTTTCGATTAGCAGTCAAGCATGTTAACTGTTTACACCACCTAGGGGCTCCCAGTGTATTTGTTGTTGGTTGTCGTTGAGTTGATTCCAACTCGTGGTGACTCCACGTGTGCAGAGTAGAACTACTCTTTAGGGTCTTCAAGGCTGTGACATTTCAGAAGCTGATTGCCAGGCCTGTCTCCTAGGGCACCTCTGAGTGGGTTTGAACTGGCAACCTTTTGACTTAACCATTTGTGCCACCCAGGGACACCCTAAATCCAAAGTCACTATCAACTATGTGATTTCTTGGCATATCTTGCCTCTTTGCCCTTTGGAATAGCAGGTTATTGGAGAAAGTGATCGTGTCTCTCAGTTCCTTGCTGCTCTGCACTGCCCTGTTTCCTCTGGCTACTGTGTAAAGTGTGATCTATGCAGGAGTCCATCTTGGTCTTCCAGCAGACACAGAAGCACAGTGTAGGGTAGATCAGAAAGGCAAAGGTAGCCCCAAAGAAGAGAGCCAATGGGAGCACTACCCCTCATCTTCTCGAGCACCAACAGAGAATGTTTCCAGGTAAAAATAGGAAGCTTGAATGAGAACAACATAGAAAGGATTATTAGCAGCGAACTAGTGACAGCAAACAAGGCAAGAGGAATGCCTTCATCTAAGAGACCTCCATCTTCAAGTACCGTATTTTCTGCAAATAACACACCCACATAAATAATGTGCAGAAATGACAAAATTAAGTAAAACAATTCTAGCATAGCACATTCATGCAAAAAAACATATAACACGCGTGTTACATGCATAAAAGTATGGTACTTTTCACTTTTACAGATAATTTTGCAAATATGGCCAAACTCAAGAATTCTGTTAAGAGTCTAGTTTTCCCAACGTATGTGGTGATGTTAAATTCATTTATGGAGAGAAACTGCTAAATTTCATATAAGTTACTGGAAAGGGAGAGTGAATGTTATGAATGAAGTGAGAATCTCTTGTATCACCAATGACTTTGCAAAATTAAAATGGAGACCTGCGTATATAAGAAGGTATCATTTAATGAAAGTTAGACTTAATCATCTCAAATGATTAATGGGATAAATTCAAGTGGATAATGGAATAAAGTGGGAAAAAACAATAAAGAAAGGAGACAGGGGATATACTAGAGGAAGAGAAGAGAAAAGGAGACATGGTCCTAAGACCCTAGCACATCTGTTCACTCAGGAAGCAGTATGTTCTGCTCTTTAGCTCAAGTAAGTAGTCCACTTAAGCTTGATTTGTTGAAATAGCCTGTTTACTTCCCGAGCTCTATGCTGTGGCCTGCTGTCCAGAAAATTTGACCATTTTACAAAGGAAGCAGACTCAGCTGTTAATGTGAAATTCATAGAAATGTCACCATTAGCTTCAGCCAGTATAGATTCCAGCCAGTGGCTATGAATTGCCTTAATTCTTTGCCAATAAGCTGAGAGCAAAAGGTGGGATTGTTAAATCCACATAGTCCCTGGATTACAGAATGAGATCTATTCCTAAGTGTGTCTTTAAGAATTTGTGGATAAGTCAGAACAAGTGCATACGTTTATTATTTAGCCTTACTTTAGTGCAAGAAAGGGAGCCCTGGTGGGACAGTGGTTAAACACTTGGCTGCTAATGGAAAGGTCAGCAGTTCCAACCTACCAGCCATTCCGTGGGAGAAAGATGTGGCAGTCTACTTCCATAAAGATTTACAGCCTTGGAAACTCTATGGGGCAGTTCTACTCTGTCCGATAGGGTCACTATGAGTCAGGATTGACTCGACAACAATGGGTTTGGTTTTTTTTTTTTGGTTTAGTGCAAGAAAAAAACTTGAAGCCTTTTCAGTGATGTAAAAGCTGCGCATGCAGCACGTGAAGGCGATTGTGATGAAGAATTTATTGTGAGTAGGGGTTGGTTCAGTCTTTTCAAAGGGAGGGCAAATTGACATAACATCAAAGGGTAAGTAAGAGTTGTCCCTTAGTAGACTGTCAGAGTCCGGGATTCACTGTAACCTCTTTGCGCCTTTTCCTCTTGTTCACAAATAACCAAGAGTTTTCCTGACTGATGAATAAAGTGATCTTTTACGAGGTGTTGCACAGCAGGTGATAAGACTCCACTTAATTTTTGGATTTTAATTTCCCTCACATTTCACATATCTGAGATTTGCTTTTATATGCATCATACTTATGAGTGTATAATCCCTTATCTTCAAACATAATAACATTTGAGGATATTTATTAATGATATGCAAAGCTAGGTAATTAATAATCTAAGTCATCACTTAAAAAAATGACTTTCAGTGAAATAAGAAACCTGTGATGTATGTAACCAGTCCCTAGCACAGAACTTGTTCATGAGGGCAAATTAATTTCCACTTCCAATGAGTCCGTTGAGGATGGTAAAATGGCAAACAAACCATCCCATTTGAAATTCAGCACACTGCTTAGTTCACAGATTCTATAAATTCTACTTCCCTCAGAAAAGATCATCTTGTGAATGAAATACCCATTTACATTTTAAGTTATTTATTCTTGTTGGAATTAGAATACTTAAGGAGTCAGGTTTTTGGGGTTTTTCCCTCTCAATGCTGCCTCACATTCAAAAGGTATTTGAAATACACATTACAGATTTTACGTAAATACAGTATTCCGACAGTTTGAGTATATTGTAAAGAACTGTACCTTTATCTGTGGTACCACAGACACACCTCCTGTTTCTGGGTGAGAAAAAGGTCAGATTTCTGTCCACTCTTGCTCAGCTAAGACACAGAGAGAAGATGCAGAAACCTGTTGTTTTCAGTATAACCGTCTCTGTGAGGTTGGGTTGGGGCTGGGGAGGAACATTGTTCTTGCCCACGTTCAAAGTCTTGGATGAGACTATCAGTGCACACTGTATTCAAGTATCTGAACAGGTTGGAGAAGGCTCATGTTTTCATAGCTGAAAGCAGACACTTGTGCTGGGAAGTATTTGCCATGAATATGTATATCTGTCTCAGTAAGGTTCCCATAGCATTTAACAGCCAAATTTGTTTGAGAGAACCTGAACCACCGAATCTCTTAATAGAATAATGGTTTACAACCACAACTCATCAATCACTGGTGTGTGGGATC